TTCCCGGGGGTCAACGCCCCCGCGGCCAGTTTGTGACCAGGCCTCCTGCTGGATCAGAGCCTGATCAACCAGGCTGTTGCTGCTGGCTGCATGCAAACCAACGTACGAGCCACAGCCCGGCTGATCAGGAACTGACTTTAGGTGCTTGTCCAGTGCCAGCTTGAAGATGCCAGGGGTCTGTTGGTAATCCCCCTTATGTGTGCTGGGAGGCAGTTGAACAGTTTCGGGCCCCTGACACTTATTGTATGGTCCCCTTACGTGCTAGTGACACCCCTGCTTTTCATTGGGGGGATGTTGCATCGTCTGCCAAGTCTTTTGCTTTCGTGTGAGTGATTTTCGTGTGCAAGTTCGGTACTAGTCCCTCTAGGATTTCCCAGGTGTAATAATCAGTATCTCTCCCCCCTGTGTTCCGGGGAAATTACAGGTTTAGGAACCTCAAGCGTTTCCCAATAATTGAGGTGTTTTATCTCCGTTATGCGCCCTTTGAAAGTTCTCGTACATTTTCTAGGTCGGCAATTTCACCTGCCTTAAAAGGGTTTGCTGTTAGTGTGCAGCAATATTCCAGCCTAGATAGAACAAGTGACCTGAAGAGTGTCATCATGGGCTTGGCCTCCTAGTTTTGAAGGTTCTCATTATCCATCCTGTCTTTTTTTCTAGCAGATGCGATTGATACAATGTTATGGTCCTTGAAGGTGAGATCCTCCGACATGATCACTCCCAGGTTTTTGACGTTGGTGGTTTCGCTCTATTTTATGGCCAAAATTTTGTTTTGTACTCTGATGAAGATTTAATTTCCTCAGTTTACCATATCTGAGTAATTGAAATTTCTCATCGTTGAACTTCATATTGCTTTCTGAAAGCCCACTGAAAGATTTGGTTGATGTCCGCCTGGAGCTTTGCAGTGTCTGCAATGGAAGACACTGTCATGCAGATTGGGTGTCATCTGCAAAGGAAGAAAACGGTGCTGTGGCTGACATCCTTGTCTATGTCGGATATGAGGATGAGGAACAAGAATGGGAGCGAGTACTGTGCCTTGTGGAACAGAGCTTTTCACCGTAGCTGCCTCGGAACTTTACTCTGTTGACGACTACTCTCTGTGTTCTGTTTGTGAGGAAATTATAGATCCATCGACCGACTTTTCCTGTTATTCCTTTAGCACGCCCTTTTGTGCGCTATTACGCCATGGTCACACTTGTCGAAGGCTTTTGCAAAGTTTGTATATATTACATCTGCATTCTTTTTGTCTTCTAGTGCATTTAGGACCTTGTCGTAGTGATCCAATAGTTGAGACGACAGGAGCGACCTGTTCTAAACCCATGTTGCCCTGGGTTTGTGTAACTGATGGGTTCTAGATGGGTGGTGTCTTGCTTCTTAGGACCCCTTTCAAGATTTTTATGATATGGGATGTTAGTGCTATTGGTCTGTAGTTCTTTGCTGTTGCTTTACTGCCCCCTTTGTGGAGTGGGGCTATGCCCTGTTGTTTTTAGTAACTGTGGGACGACCCCCGTGTCCATGATCCCTCTCCATAGGATGGAAAAGGCTCGTGATAGGGGCTTCTTGCAGTTCTTGATGAACACAGAGTTCCATGAGTCTGGCCCTGGGGCAGAGTGCATGGGCATGTCATTTATCGCCTGTTCGAAGTTATTTGGCGTCAGGATAACATCGGATAGGCTTGTGTTAATCAAATTTTGTGGCTCTCTCATAAAAAATTAATTTTGATCTTCGACTCTCAGTCTGGTTAGCGGCTTGCTAAAAACTGAGTCATATTGGGACTTGAGTAGCTCACTCATTTCCTTGCTGTCATCTGTGTAGGACCCATCTTGTTTAAGTAGGGGCCCAATACTGGACGTTGTTCTCGATTTTGATTTGGCATACAGAGGTAGTGTGTGTACTGTTAGGGACAATCTTTAACAAGTGTATCGAAACAGGGCAACTGCCAAAAGTGTGGAAGATAGCAAATGCAGTCCCAGTTTTTTAAGGAAGGAGACAGACAGCATTAAACTACAGACCA